CCACCTATAGAGCACAACAAGGAAAGGAATGAAGGAAGCTACTTCTTTTATATTTGTATGAATATAATTAGTATATATTGATTATAAACGTCTGTTCTCTTCTCCCCAGTAGGGACCCCAGTAGCTTATTTTTGTTATATTAATTATTAATTTACTTAATTCATTTATACCCTACTTTTCTCCTCAATGCGGGCCCAAAGTAGCTTACATCATTCTCCTTCCCCCATTTTATTCTCACAGAAATCCTGTGAGATAGGTTAGGCTGAGAGAGTGTAACAGGCCCAAGGTCACCCAGCAAGCTTCTATGGCCTGAGTGGGGATTTGAACCTGGGTATTCCAGATTTTAAATTCTCCTGCGGTCTGCCCAGAAGTAATCTATTCAGAACTATCAGATCTGCTGTGCTCTTCTAATCTTTCTGTTGTAACATCTAGCCTAGAAATGCTGCACAAAAGTTGATCCTACTTAAACTGTTACACAGACAAATCTATCCTTTGACTGTGGTGCCAGAAATAAAGAGGCAATATCAGTCAGCTATTTCATAGCTTCTACATATCTGGGTAGCTACTGACATTGATATTGGGAAAGCAGATCTGCAGTTGTCTTAGACCAGAGGCTTGGAGCTAGATTTTATTTAAAGGAGGCTTCTGGCTTTTACTGCAAAGAACAGTCCCTTGTCTCTTCCTCTGTCTCTCTATCTATCTGTGCACATTGATAACCCTGCTTTTCTTCCAAATGGGGACCCCTCCAGAAGGCTTATGTCAGGGGGTATGGCCTTCTAACACACTTCCAGTGATGTCAGGGGGTGTGTGGCCTTCTGACACACTTCCGGTGATGTCAGGGGGTGTGTGGCCTTCTGACACACTTCCAGTGAAGTCAGGGGGTGTGGCCTTATGACACACTTCCGGTGATGTCAGGGGGTGTGGCATATGCTAATGAGTTATGCTAATGAGCTCCTGCAGCTCTTTTTCTACAAAAAGACCCCTGTTGGAAACTATCCTGTTCCTACGAGACAGACATTAAAGGATGATGACACATTAACTCCATATGTATTATCACTATGAAAAAAACTGAGAGCAAAAGATCTTTGCAGTTGAGAGCATCTTCTTGGGAGAAAGGCCTTTCATATGTACCTGTCCATTCGTGAAATGTTCCCACCTTGCTGGCTTTGTGCTATAGGAAATCTCCATTGTAGGTGAGAGCAGGCCTGCACAGCATGTGGACTCCAATTCACCGTGTGCATTGCCATACTACGCAGGACAAACATGTGCCTGGAATGCTATGCATGACTTGGAGACTGCATGCTTTTTGGATGGGCCAAGATGCACAATGCATTTTCTTTCTATCCTCCTTTCTCTCTCTTTTGCAAACATGCATATTGACATATACTCACGCATCCCCTGTGCACTTCGCCTGTCATTACTGGTGGGGAAAGGACAGGACAGTGTGTGAAGCTCTAACTCCCAAGGAGTCCTGTTCCACTTGAGACAGTTCCTCCCCCACTTGCAAAGCCTGGGAAAGATGCAAAGATTGCACTCTGTGGTTTCGGACACCCCTCCTTTGTTATTGCACAGTAATCTAATTAAAGAAACTTAGTGAGAGTGTAAAAAGGACATGTTTCAATGAAATTTTGTTTTTGAACAATCTCCATATTGAAAATAAAATAAATATCTGGGGAGAGCTATAGAAAAGATAGTGTTTAGCAGAGAAGCAGAAACTGGCAAAACCTGCAACTTGGTTGATTACAACACAAAAGCGAGCATTGGCCTTGGAACTTCATAACCATGTAGGAACTAATGCTTTTCATCCGATCCTTTCTCAAGGTCAACAATAGAGCTTTATTATACATGAAACATGAAACAACATATGCTTGTATACACAACCTACTTAGAAGATAACGGCCACTCTTCAGCTCTGGAGGCATTTTGCTTTTTGGCTGCATGCCTCACCATGTACCTGAGACATGTGGTTATCTGTCAACAGCCCCACACTCTGGACTGTGTTATATTTTACATGAGTAACTCTGAAACACAAGAGAATGCAGCAGACTCTGGGAATGATTTAAAGGGTAGTTAACTGCTCTGCAGATGAGATCACCACAACACTTTATGGCAAAGTGGCAGAACGGCTGGTGTTCAGCCTCATCTAAATTCACCATACAGAGGGAAAAAAACAAACCTAACTTGATGAGGGAAGTCCCACCCACCCACCCAGATTTAAAGACATCCCTTCCAGCAATTAATTATTGACTCACATGGAGAAGGATCCACGAACACTGGGTCTATGTTATGAAGCAGCTCCTTTCGGGGGGAAGGTTTTCCTTCACTGGAACAAAGTTTGGGAGGAAAAAAACACATTAATTTCCTTCTACAGTTTAGTGAAAATTCCCTAGTGCTTCTGTCTGTGATCCTCCCAAGAAATAATGAAAATCTGTTAACCATTTAAGCACATCAATGTGCTAACATAAAGGCAAAGTTGCTCAAATTTAAGTGCAGAATATTTTTGGGGGGGAGCCTTCAATATGTAAGGAGCTGCGGTGGCTCAGTGGTTAAGATGCTGAACTGCAGGCTGGAAGGTCGGTAGTTCAGCAGTTTGAGACCTGAGTGCCGCTCCCGTCTCTGGTTCCAGCTCCTGCCAACCTAGCAGTTCGAAAGCAAGAAATTGCAAGTAGATAAATAGGTACCACTTCGGTGGGAAGGTAACAGCGTTCCGTGCGCCTCGGTGTTTAGTCATGCTGGCCACATGACCACGGAAACGTCTTCAGACAGCGCTGTCTCTTTGGCTTGGAAATGGAGATGAGCACTGCAACCCTAGAGTCGGATTCGACTGGCTTTCAAGAAAGGGAAACTTTTACCTTTACCTTCAATATGTATTGGAAAATCTACGTCTTGGTTTTGTTAAGATGCTCATACTGCTTTTCCTTTAAAAAAATCACTAAAACTTTTTCAAAGATCTTGCAAAACACGGGAAGGCACCAATAAGAAAAACAAACACACAACTATCAATCCATGAAATAAAGAGATGGAATGCCTAAACAAGACAGCTTTTAATTTGCTTTGTAAATGACCAAAGGGCTCAAGAGGCCTATTTTGGGGAAGTGTTCAAAAGCTGCACCTGTAAGGTCGCTGTCAGTGCCTTGACAGATTTCACTTCATGGGAACCCACACGGGTGAATCTTCTGTAGATCTCAATAGGTGGTGGGAGATGTATGTAAGAAGATGCTCCATAAAATAGCTACCGCCTCGATGTCCAGAGGTTCATGTATGATCACTAGTCATGGCCTGCTAAGGAGCTTTTTGCACACTAGTGGTAGAAAGTGCCATCAAGTTGTTTCCCACTTATGACGACCCTGGTAGGGTTTTCAAGGCAAGAGATGTTCAGAGGCAGTTTGCCATTGCCTGCCTCCACATCATGACCCTGGTACTCACTGGGGGTCTCCCATCCAAATCCTAACCAGGGCTGACACTGCTTAGCTTCTAAGACCTAACAAGATTGGGGTAGCCCAGGCTATCCAGGTTAGGGCATTTTGATACCCTATTCCAATTCCATAGAGAGGGAAACTGATTTTTTTAAAAAAGAGATAGATAGATAAAAGAAATTCATTTCTGTCTAATTTGGTGACCCTTAAGCAGGTATCCTAAGCAGGTCAGGCCAGCCCTGCCTTTCGCAAGACACTAAATAGGTGATCAATGCAACTAAAGCAGCAACTACAGGCCTGCGTCCATCATGAGCTGCAGCAGCATTCTGTACTAGTTGTGGCTTCTAGATATATTTCAACAGCAGTCCCATTTACATGTACTGCAACATGTGCAAGATTTTAATATTAATTTTTGAGGATTCTGAATACCATGTTTGCATCTTTATTCTGAATGTACAAATTCTGGTTTGTCTGGAGGACTTGGGAAAGTGTACAAATGCAGAAAGATCAAAGATACCCATGGTTCATCCAGAACAAACCCTAGTTCTACAACAGGATGATATGTAATGCCCAAGGCAGGGGTGTCAAACATAAGGCCTGGAGGCCAGAACCAGCCCATCCATGGCTCTTACCAGGCCCTCAAACAACTGGCATGTATGGAAATGTAAGGAACTTCCCCTTTTATGGTATCCCTTGGAAAAAAACTAGTCTTGCATATGATTGTGGGTTCCCCAGTAAATCAATTGCTCTCAGTGCTAGAAATCAACTTCTTTTGTTTGTATTTTGAGTAAAAATAATATTGTTAATTGGGTCTGCCAGTGTCCTTTATAAGGTTTATATCTACAGTACCTGTTGTTATATTTTATGGCACACATGGCCGGGCCCGACAAAGCGACATTTATATCAGATCCGGCCCTCGTAACAAATGAGTGACAACTCTGGCCTGAGGCATCCCTGGAGATAAACCGCCCAACTAAATAGAATAATAAAAACATCACCCCAGGCAGGAAAAATAGTTTAAATAGCTCTAATAGAAAGCTTTCGTAAGTAACTGATGCATGACACAATCAAGCAAGGAGTAGACCGTGGCCAATGCCATGTATTCTTGTATGTTGCAAAATTATAATTGCTGCAGATGTTTCTTCCAAGGGGGTCTACCAATAATTCTATGCATATGCTACACATATATCACATTTTAAAACCTAGACAGCTTAATCCAATCCCTTAAACTGTTTTGCTGAAACAACACATGACTGCAAACTACTTCCTTTGTCATGGATAACTCAATTAAGCAATTATCACCTCTCTGGATTTCTTGTTTACTTTGTGATATTGTAAACCAGTTTCATTCTGGCATCCTTGAGAGGTCTCTGGTTACACTATTCTAGCAACTAATGCACTGGGGGAGAATGCTGTTTACTTTGTAAAAAAGGGAAAGCTATAGAGATCTGATCTGACCTAGATAGACCAGGCTAGCCCAATCTTGTCAGATCTCGCATGCAAAGCAGGGTTGACCCTGGCTAGCATCTGGATGGAGGGCCTTCAAGGAATACCAGGATTGTGACATGGAGGCAGGCTATGGCAAATCATCTCTGATCGTCTCTTGCCTTGAAAACCCTACAGGGTCACCATAAGTCAGCTGTGACCTGACAGCAAACACACACACAGAGAGAGAGAGAGAGAGAGAGAGAGAGAAGAACAAGAAATCGGAAGGAGATTGAGACTGGGAAGGACAGCCATGAAAGGGCTAGAAAAGATTCTAAAGTGCCAGGCTGGGTCACTGGCACCACAGGATCCCCCTTTACTATGTATGGGTGTAAAAGTTGGACAATGAGGAAAGCTGGCAGGAAGACTGTTGATTCCTTTGAAATGTGGAGATAGAGAAGAATTTTATGGATACCATGTACTGCCAAAATGACAACTGAGTATGTTCTAGAACAAATCAAGCCTGAACTCTCCCTAGAAGCTAAAACGACTAAACTGAAGCTATTGTACTTTGGTCACATTATGGGAAGACAAGAGTCACTGGAAAAGGCAATAATGCCACGAAAGGTTGAAGGCAGCAGGAAAAGAGGAAGACCCAACATGAGATGGATTGACTCAATCTAGGATGCCACGGCACTCAGTTTACAAGACCCAACCAAGGCTGTTAAACGATGGGATGTTTTGGAGGTCATTAATTCATAAGGTCACCATAAGTCAGAAGCAACTTGACGGCACTTAAAATTTAAATGGAGGAAACTACCACAAATGAATACACAGAAGAACTATACAAGAAGGACCTCAATGTCCTTGACAACCACTATGGTGTAATCACTGACCTCGAGTCAGACATCCTGGAATGTGAAGTTAAATGGTCCTTAGAAAGCATTACTAACAACAAAGCTAGCGGAGGTGATGGTATCCCAGCTGAGCTATTCAAAGTCTTAAAAGATGATGCTGTTAAAAGTGCTGCACTTAATTTGTCAGCAAATTTGGAAAACGCAACAGTGGCCACAGGATTGGAAAAGGTCAGTTTACATTCCAATCCCAAAGAAGGGTAAAGCCAAGGAATGTTCAAACTATTGCACAATTGCACTCATTTCACATGCTAGTAAGGTCATGCTCAAGATCCTACAAGCTAGGCTTCAACAGTACGTGGATAGAGAACTGCCAGAAGTACAAGCTGGGTTTCGAAGAGGTAGAGGAACTAGAGATGAAACTGCCAACATTCGCTGGATTATGGAGAAAGCAAGAGAGTACCAGAAAAATATCTACTTCTGCTTCACTGACTATGCTAAAGCCTTTGATTGTGTGGATCACAACAAACTATGACCAGTCCTTAAAGAGATGGGAGTACCAGACCACCTCATATGTCTCCTGAGAAACCTGTATAAGGATCAAGAAGTGACAGTTAGAACTGGATATGGAACAACTGATTGGTTTAGAATAGGAAAAGGAATACAACAAGGATGTATATTGTCACCTTGATTATTTAATTTATATGCAGAGTACATCATGCAAAATGCCAGCCTGGATGAATCACAAGCGGGAATTAAGATTGCTGGGGAAAAGATCAACAACCTCAGATATGCAGACGATACCACTCTAATGGCAGAGAGTGAAGAGGACATGTAAAGAAAATGTTTTCTTATGTTCAGTGCCTGTATGAAATCTTGGTTCAGGCTTCAACTGAGGCCTGTAGAAAAACATTTCCTAGAGATAGAAATTCTCCTCAGAGACAGAGATAGCAGAAGAGGCATATTATGACCTTGTGAGATTGCTTTCAACTGTGGCTGATACCAGAGTTCGCTACTGCCCTGTTACCAACCAATTAAGCACATTCCTTTTTATTGACCTAATAACACCTGTGTGTAGGGGTAACCGAGCCTTGGCTGCAGAATAGGTTTCGTTTTCCCCTCTGCTCCTAGTATTATGGGATGTCAACCTATTATGGGATGTCAAAGTATTATGGGATGTCCATTTTCCTAGTAACATAGGGGGTTGACATCATCTCCCTGGCCCCTCATTGGGTTAAAGGCCTGACCCACTGAGAGACTATTTTCCATAAAATAAGACCTATTCAGTTGGATGGGGGTGCCTGTGGCTATTGGACCTGACTTGGGACAGTAGCCCAGTAGCAACCCAGCAATGGCATTCCACTTTGATCATGCCTGGATGGGCTGTGTGAACATCTTGTTATGTTGGACTTCTGCATCTCTGTAACCTGGAAAGGTAACACTGAAACTGTATCTTATGTTTAGCTAGTGCTGGAAAAGCTTAGCCTTTGTTATTTTTAAACCTCCAGTCTTGTCTTGTGTTTTAATATATTTGCACCTTAATAAACAAAATATATTTTGTCGTGGTGCTTGTGCTCAATAGACCTCAAAGGCTTAATCCATTTGCCTTAGACCCTTGACCACTACCAAAAGTAATTGTTTTGTCTTCTGAAATCAGACTGCAGTTACACTCTGCAGAGCTGACTTTTTCTGTTAAGTTCCAGAGCCAGTCAGGAGATTTGGTCTTTTGCTCCTGGACTGTTGGGAGCCACTGAAAAGACCTGGTCGCAGTCTACCTTAGAGTGAGTTTAGATTCTCTCAAGTATTTTTGTAACTTTGCTTTGCAACCTGTTATTTGACCCAAACTCTTGGCTCGGAGGGGTTGAGGGTTTGTGACAGGACTTAAAGAGCTTCTTGCTGAGGGTGAAAGAAGAGAGCGCAAAAGTTGGCTTGAAACTCAACATGAAAAAAACTAAGATCATGGCATCTGGACCCATCACTCCTTGGCAACTGGAAGGGGGTCGTGGAAGCAGTGACAGACTTCACGTTCCTGGGATCCAAGATCACTGCAGATGGTGACTGCAGCCATGAAATTAAAAGAGGCCTGTTCCTTGAGAGAAAAGCAATGACAAATCTAGACAGCATAATAAAAAGTAGAAACATCACCCTGCCAACAAATGTCCATATGGTCAAAGCAATGGTATTCCTAGTAGTAATGTATGGCTGCGAGAGTTGGACTATAAGGAAGGCCGAGCACTGAAGAATAGATTATTTTGAATTATGGTGCTGGAGAAGACTCTTGAGAGTACATTGGACTGCAAGGAGATGAAATCAGTCAATCCTAAAAGAAATCAACCCTGACGGTTCCCTGGAAGGCCAGATACTGAAGCTGAAGCTCAAATACTTGGCCACCAAATGAGAAGGGAGCACTCACTGGAGAAGACCCTGATGCTGGGAAAGATTGAAGGTCAAAGAAGAATGGGACAGCAAAGGATGAGATGGTTAGACAGTGTTATCGATGCAATGAACATGAAATTGAGCAAACTCCGGAGCACGACAGAAGACAGGAGGGCCTGGCTTGATGTGGTCCATGGGGTCACAAAGAGTTAGACTCAACTGTGTGACTGAACAACAACACAAATGATTAGGATTAAAGTGAGTGTTTTCAGAAATAGTTTTGATGGATAGCACAATAGGCATTCATTGGGACTGTACATACATGTCTTTGATATGCATTTCGGCACAAGGCAAACTCATTTCTGAACACATCCACAATCTATATAAATTTTTGAACATATGAAAACAAATATGACGCCATTCTAAATATTTGCTACTTGGCTATCTTACACTAGTTTACTTAGCTCCAGTTAGTTGCTTCCAGGATGCTAGTTGCTGCGTTCATGACTCTTACTCCTTAGTAATTGGCAGGTGGATGCTATCCCATTACCCTTTTCCCTCTCTCACTGATTATGCAGGGCTTGGAAAGCTTCTTTGTTCCTCCTAGATCTCTAATCTGGAGCACCCTTGGGTAGTCTACAAGTACTCCATACTGAAATTGAGGTAACTGACCATCAGGTGTATATAGGCTGCCAGTAATACCTTTTCCATATTTACATACTTTAAGAAGTGCCAATTTTCATACATATAACTGTAATTTGGCATCTTGCTGGACTTTACATATTATTCAGGACCCAAAATATTTCTTAAAGTTCTCTCTCCAAGAAATTGTTGCTATGTATGTGTAGTATTGTTTTGCTTTCATGAAGAGATTTTATAAGTTTTCCCCATAAAATATAATACAGGTTTCTATTTATATGTAGCATATTACACAATGATGAAAATACGTTCTAGTTTAGGATGACAGGCACATTTGCATTCCAATATCTTTTTTTTTCAGGAAAAAACCCTAAATCATTATGACTGCAATCCTCTGCACACTTACTTGGGAATAAGTCCCACTAAACTCAAGCTTAATTCTGATTACACATGCACAGGACTGAGCCATCAGATCCCCCCCCCACACCAACACCATATACATCTGTTTCAGCTATTTGCCCATCTTTGGCCAGTCACCCATTTCGCTTTGATATTCTGTTCAGTTCCCCAAAGTACAGAATACACTATTTTGGCAGCTATTAATGAATTAATTAAAACATTGTATCAAATTTTGAAAACACATTTCAGATATTTACATTAGAATGTTTTTATTAGATTTTTTTTTTAAAAAGCATTCAAATAAAGGATTGAGACATAGGGTTTCGGCCTTCACAAATTTTTCTCTTGAGGATAAAGTCTTATTAAAGCAGAGACTGATTTCAAGTGTTTTATTAAGAATGTTACCTGATCGTTTTCCACATATCAAAGCCATCTAAAGGCTTTGTGCCATTTGTATGTCCTCCAGCGAGGCTCACCAGAGTTGGCAGCCAGTCAGAAATGTGAATAAGGTCATGACTTTCCACTCCCTTCCGTTTCAGTAAAGGACTCGTAATAAATCCAACCCCTCTCACGCCTCCTTCCCACAGGGTCCACTTCCTTCCTCTTAATGGCCAGTTATTTCCGCCTCCCAATGTTTGGCCTCCATTATCTAAAACATATTTAATAATAAAAACAAAAACGAATTGTAAAATATGTATTATATACATAAAATAATTACATAAATTGATTTTATTAGGCAATATGTCATTTAAGAATAAATCTTACCTCCTGAAAATATAACATGCATAATTATTAATATGGTCTAAAACTGGCCAATCTTACAACAGATCTCAGAGAGAGAGAGAGAGAGAGAGAGAGAGAGAGAGAGAGAGAGAGAGAGGGGGACGAAATGGAGAGAGAGAGAGAGAGAGAGAGAGAGAGAGAGAGAGAGGTATTACAAATACACCGATGGGGTCTGAATTAACCAATGGATCTTGAAACTGTAGGGTCATCTCCAGGGGTCATTTCATAGAAAAAGAGGTGCAGGAGCTCATTAGCATAACTTATTAGCATATGCCACACCCCCTGACATCATCGGAAGTGTGTCAGAAGGCAACACCCACCGCTAAGGCTCACTGGACTGTTTTGGATTGCTAGCTATTGGGGTGGGGGAATGTGCAGATCTGCCCTCACAGAGGAGGGAGAGCTTGTACCTGAATAAAACTTGGTCTTAAAGGTGCCACTGGACTGTTTTGGATTGCTAGCTATGGGGGGGGAGGTGAATGTGCAGATCTGCCCTCACAGAGGAGGGAGAGCATGTACCTGAAGGCGGGCCGGGGGGTGGGGGCTCTGCAACTTACCCAGCTGCTTCTTGCTCCTCGTGGCCTAACTGAGGGCTGCTGGGAGCAGGGAACGGGGCTTGTTCCATGTGCCTGCCCCCTGGGCTCCTTACTGCCGGAGCTCTGCTCCTGTGTGCTCCCGCAGGAAATGACCCCTGGTCATCTCCATGACAATTATGACTTGAGCACACAGAAGCAGTGGAAAAAAGCAAATAATATGCTAGGAATTATTAAGAAAGAGTCTGAAAACAAAATGGCTGTTATTATACTGTCCTTGAATAGATCAATGGCAAAGCTGCATTTGGAATACTCTATGAAGTTCTGGTCTTGCCCTCACAAAAAGGATTTCTTGGAGCAAGAAATCTTGCACAAAAGGGCAACCCAAATGATCAAGGAGTGGAGCATCATCACTATGAGGAAGGGCTAAAGAATTTGGACTCTGACTAGGAAAAACAGACAAAGAAGGAACAAGACAGATATTGATAAAACTATGTGTCATGTAGAAAACATGAATAGAAAGAACTTTTTCTCCAGCTCCCATTAACGCTAAAATGTGGGCTACTCAACAAAGTTGATGAGCAGGAAATCTGAGAGAGAAAATAAATTATTTCTTCACATATTGTCCAATTAAGACTTCTACAACAGAGATAAGAAAAGATTGTTTTTAATTTAAAAATTAAGTTAAGCAACCAGTGGAAGACACTTGGGTGACTCCCCAAAAAGCACACAAACCACAACAGTGGGACGTGCAAAACTAACGAACCGCTGGCCTACAGTCTTGGACCCTGCATACCTTAGAGACTTGAATCCTAAGGTGCTATTCCATTAGCACTCTATTGTGTAGTGGGTTGCCGCATGGAGAAACGACAGACGACGACGTAGTGCATAGCACGCTTTATTGGTACACAAGACAAGAGACAAACGGCCGGCAGGCCAACTATATACACGACCAGGGGACCACCCCTGGGTCCCATTGGCGGGTTTGAATCTCCTGCCACGGTCCCATTGGTTCCCCCAGTGGAGGGACTAGGATCCTAGTCCCCATTGTTGTCCAGGACTGAAGCTCAGGCGTGTGCGCTGACCTCCGGTGGTGGTCAGTGGACACAACACACTCACAGTAGATCCTCTGATGGAATGGTTTTTCCATGTGCAGAGGAGATTCTCCTGCACTGCTGCTATCTGCCAGTTTACTCCTAAGACTGTCCAGTTCAGATCAACAGACCCACGGGAGCAGAATTTCAAGGGGCACAGGAGGCTGCAGTGAGAGGAGGAGGAAGATGGAAAATTTGCCTACCTCCAGCATAGTTCTGTTCTCACTGCTTAGGATCCAAGTCATTCTTTCCCCCAGTGTTGCATTGCAAGCACCAACTTTACTGGGGACTTCCTGTAGTGTTTATCATTATGTTTGTCATTTAAGAATTTTGGGGAGGGCTTCTGGTTGCTAGGATGTTTAAATCTATTTTACTTAGTTTTAATTAGGATCTTTTTCCTGTTCTATTGTTGCACAAATTGATCCTTAGGGGAGGCAACAGGCTAGACATTTAAGTAAATACACAACTCAACAGTTCTGTAAACAATTATGTGCTCACATTAAATCAAAGGCTTTGCAGTAAGAATAATACACCACCCAAAAAGAATGTCATCAGCATGAAGACCCATCCAGTAAGTTCTAAACCCACTGTTTAGAAATCACTGTTCACATGCCACCTTATAGAAGGAACGATTCACTTTTAATCTGCATAAACAAGTGTCTGGCTTTTCAGCAACAATGCTGGTAGTTTGACCTGCATGTCAAACTGTAGACCGGTGGCAAAAGTCAGCAGTTTTCTTTTGGAATTCAATGCGCACTTGGATTATCACAGATGCAGATCTAACATTCCTCCCCCAAGTCCACCAATAACTCAATGCATTCATATTTAGAGTACTGATTCTCTGTGTATTTGGACCCTGTTACAGTTTTTAATCCTGCAGATACTAAAACTCATTAGCAGCTCTAAAGTTGGTCCTCATTTTGGGATTATTTTAAGGAACTGTGTTATGAAAGGCAGTGCTTGCTTACTCTCTTTCTTTCCCTGACCATGCTATTATTTATAAAGCAGAACTGTCACCAGCTATAATGAGCTTATTACTCCAGCTTTCCTTTTATGTTTGACAAGTATTTTGCGACTAGGAAGCAGGGAACCTGTGTGACCACAGCAACAAGACATGCAATTCTTCTCTAAAACAGCAGCAAAGACTGTACTTTACCACCAGCAGAACAGAACTAAATTATCTCACCCACACTGAATTCATTAATTAGGGACTAGAACAACTCTCCCGTCCTTTGGACACTGACTGATGTATGAGCAAGAAAAGGAAATGTATTTTTTACTCACAATTAAACACAGAATTTATCTACATATAGCTGAAATTAAAGATACGCTGAACAACTGCAGAAAGCAGGGCATGTTGGTATAATTGCAGTTTTAAAAAACAAACAACCCTGTGGTCAACTAATGACCCTCAAAGCATTCCTCACATGTCGGTCAACTGGATTATCCAATCAAGTTATTGGACTGGATTCAATGGAGAATTTCTGTGAGTGGGAAGAGGGCCAGGTTGCCAGTTCTCCCCTTCTGCTGCAGACCTCTGACTCCCCTCTCATGCTGTTCCTAGGAGGTCCCCTGTCTCCTAGGCATTTGGACAGGAGGAGGATGGGAGAGGAGAGAAGCTGCGCTCTGTGTACAGTAATCTCTCCTGTCCATGGAACTCCTCCATGGGATCTGAGCCAAAATATAAACCATTCAATGAAATAACTGTACTGCTTGACTGCATTTAATAGTAATAGGCAATTTGGAGGGAAAATGCCTGAATATCACCTTGGAGGAAGCAATCATGTAAGAATAATTGGAATATTTTATTTGAGAAGAGGAGCTATGTTAGCCCATGACAGCGAGGAGACCAACGATCTTATGCAGATTATATGAGCGGATTGCCTTCCTCCCTGAATGCTCTCTATATCCCAAATCCTGACACAGCAGCTCATGGAACTGTACAGAAGGGACCCTATTCCAGTACATGAGTCCAACTTACATTCTAAACAATGACCCAACTCTACCTTTGGTGCCGCCACATTAATGTTGCCCTCCAGCTGGCAATACAACTGTGATACAATACAACACAACAGTGATAAAATGGCACTCCAATCACGCACAATAAAAGGACCACATGTAGTACATTCTCCCTGCACTTGCAATCAGACAATGCCGGAAAAAGGGTTTGTTTGTTTTTTACCGTGAAGCAATGTGTAACAAGTGTGTCACAGAGGCTATTCCAGATATGATGTCATTTTCCTGCCTACAAATAGATTTGCTAAAAAGAAGTGTGTCGGGCCACCAGTGCCCTGTTCCTGGGTGCAGAAGCCTCAGAATATGGGAGCTGCAAGGTTATACCCCGGCCATGGCTGGGAGGGCGGGGTATAAATATAATAAATAAATAAATACTTCATCTCCTGCAGCTTACCTGTATGGCAGTTCTGCAGCGTACGCCCTCTCTCTCTGTTATCAGTTTTCTGCTGCTCTCTTCCACCCCAGCTTCTGTCTTCATTCCTCCTTTTATTGTTGCTGCTCGCGTGTCCCTCTCTACCCTGTGGTTTCTTCCCCTGTTCATCTCCCCCTTTCCTCTTCCTATTGGTGACTCCTCTCCCCCTTTATCTGCCTGTTCCCGCCCTCCTCCCTCATCCGCGTCTCGCCTCCCATTGGGGCGATGCTTCCTCAGCTTGCCCAGCATCGTTCTCTCCTCCTGGGACCTCTCCTCACTGGGTTTTCCGGCAGGGTCTTCAGGTAAGTCTGGGAGCCGGCTTCACCCTGGATCCATTCTCGCCCAGGAAGCCCAGTCCCAGAGCCTCGCTCTCCTCGCCGTTCCAAGCCCGCCCCCCTGGCTTGGCTGTCGCCTCAGGGTTCCCTGCTGCTCGGCCTGTTCCCACCCTCAGGCTGGCGACTCAGGGGCCCTGTGAGGTGAGGCGCCAGGGTGCAGCGTGGTGGGGTTGATGCTAGGCCGGCATGGGAGGGCCCCACGCCGCAGCCCCCTGGCTCCTGCCATGGCGTGGTGGCGCCAGCATTGAGGGTGCTGCTGGGCTGGCCGGGGAGGGCCCCGGGTCATAGCGACCCAGCTCCTGCTGCGGTGCAGCAGCGCGGACCTTGGGGCCGGAGTCAGGCCGCAGCAGGGGTGCTGCTGGGCTGGCCGGAGAGGGCCCTAGGCCACAGCTACCTGGCTCCTGGCACCAAGCGGCGGTGCGGGCCTCAGGGCTAGTGAGAGGTCCCGGCTCTGAGTCAGGACAAAGCGTCAATCT